CTTAGTTTGAGCAGCTTTTTGTCTGAATCTGAAACAAAGCTCTTGAATTTTTCTTCCTATTGTTGAAGCAGGAATTTCATCTTTTTTTAAATTAAAACCAAGACGCAGATTTCTAATATTATCCGGAGTAATTAAGCAGAGAGCTAAATCTTTGGCACAGTTTTAGAATAAAAGCACGCGCAGTAATTACTCGCTCTATCTCTGCTCTGCAGCTCGACATTAAACCAGCGAGGTGTTTTCTTTATGGCTCATCAGCTCGAGCCTCTCGGAGGTTTCTGAGAGTCGCTCTGCAGATTTTACAACATTTAGAAAATGAGGACGATGAACTTCAAGGTGCAGTTTTTACCAGATGGACTTAAAAAAGATAAAACTCTTCTTCTTCTGTATCAGAGGTCACTCAGTGATTCCTCCGTCTTCTCTCTTCCCTTCCAGCGGAGGTTCTGAGTCCGAGGCCACGGATACACTGAGGCAGAAACACACACACAATCATCACACGCACACACACACACACACACACAGAATTAGCACATGTTCAGATGTACTTAACTCAAAGAAAACAAACGGAGCCTTCTGTTCCTCTGTGACCTGAACAATGGATTTTACTTTATTGTTTGTTTGATATTTTTGTCCGATTGATTCACATTATATCACGATCAGGTCACGTTTCGTTGATTTCTCAAGTTTGAATCCAAAAACAGAAAATCAGCAAAAGTAAAAGTGACTCGATGTGTTTTTTCATCCACAATAATAATGATGATGATGTCAGTGTCTAAAGATCTGGTTCATGGAGAGAAGCAGTTATCGGAGCTAATTTATTCTCTTAGAATCAGACGAGTCTCTAGAGCAGCGTCCGCTCTGTGATTGGTTTAGACGATTATAAATTCACACAAAGAAAACAGGAAACGCTGAACGTCCACGTGTGACACGATCCGACTCCGGAGCGTCCAGGCTGCAGCTCTGAGGAGGTTTCTCGTAGCGAAGGGGGAATTTCAAAACTGGAACAGGAAGTGGGAGAGGAGAACGCTGCATGAAGTCATGGGACGTTTATCCAGAGGCTTCATATGTTCAGGCTCATGTTCTCATCATGGAAACACAGTTTATAGATAAATCACACAAACACGTGAGGAACGAACAGCAGCTGAGAGCGAGAGCAACATTTACAGATGGTCAGTTTTCATAAACAATTCTTCATTTCATTGATTTTGTCTTTAACTTATAAACTATTTCACAACTTTAACATATAGTTAGAAACAGGAAACCTCTGAATTAATGTTATGATATAAGTGCGTCACGTACAGTTCATGATTTAAGAAATGGACATTTTCAAGCTCTGTTATCATCAATCTGCTTTTAGAAAGTGAGATGTTAAGACGTCTCTAAATGTTCCACCAGTTAAATTAAAACGGCTCCTCACTGATCTTTCAATCACTTTTTATCGACTTGGCGCAGGATCTCGTTTCCAGAGACAAAACAGTCGAGAGACAATAAAACGTGATGAGACTCAGTTTGTGGTCTGACTCCTCCGTTAGATTAATCCTGTGTCTGTGGACGGTGTGTGGAGCTCTGGTGGCTGAGTCTGTCCAAAACTATCAGGGATGTTTATGATTTAAGATTTTAAAAGAAGAGAGACGACAGTTTGAATGTCTCTGTGATTTGTCCTGATGATGTGGAAACAGGTTAAAACTGAAACTGCTGCAGGAAAGAGCCGAGCAACAGACCGGAGCTAAATCTCATTCATTTCAATTTGGTTTGTTTTGTTTCAGTTGTTTTATTCACGAACTGTTGTCGAAGCTTCAGCAAAGAAAAAGGTTTTATTCTCGTGTGTTAAAGCAAATTACAAACAGAGACACTTGAATTTCTTTTAAACTTAACTTGATCTGTATTTTATTTAATTTTATTTATGAGTGATGTCGAAGTTTATAATTTTTTTAATCATGTTTTCTTATTGAATCATTTCATTGGTCTGTTCATTTCATTTCTTGTTCAACAAAGCACTTGATCATTAGAAGAAAATCGTTTGTTGCAGCTGATTAATGATGAAAATAAATTTCTCATGAAACATCTGAAATCATCATTTGTTCATTTTTCACTTGTTCATCTTTCTTTCATTCTTTCACTCACCTCGAACAACTAACTGCTGATCTGTTGATTCACGACATCAAACCTGGAAAAAAAAGATTCAAACGAATCTGAAATATTAGAAACTAATTTGAAAAGTTCACAAAATAAAGTTGTGTCTCTTTAGTATTTTCCATCATTTCTCTCGTGTTTGCAGTTTGAGATTTATCTGTGAAGGAACATTTGATTTGCATCTGGAGAAAATAAATGTTTCATGATGTTGAAACCTGAGAATAAAAGAAAATGTCAGAAACCAAAAAAAGTTCTGAGGAAAGAAAACGTTTAAAAAGTCAAGACGAAGTGTTTTAATCAGTCATTTCAGTTCATTGTGAATAAAAACATGTTCAAGCTGATTTCACCTGATTAAACACCAGCTTCTTTTTTTATCTTTAGACTTTGGGTCCAAAGATAAAATATCTGTGATCAGAATATTATATTACAGCGTCTCATGTATTTCCACACGACGTCCAACTCGTCTCTTTGAATCTGCAGCGCCGTCGTTCAGCAGATGAAGAACATTGAAGATTCTTCAGTGTTTCCTTTGAATCTTTCCACGAATATTAATAACGTTCAGTTTTATTGCAGCCGTCACGTGACTTCTTCTGAAAATGAACTTTTCTAATGAGGTTAAACTGGGAGGTTCCAAATATTAGAGTTTGAAACAACACTAGTTCTGAATATTGTCACCTGATAGTTAAATATCAGTGTTTGCACTCGTCTCCCTCTGTCGTCTCACTCTCGTCTCACTCTCTTGTCTCACTCTCGTCTCCCTCTGTCGTCTCACTCTCTTGTCTCACTCTCTTGTCTCACTCTCTTGTCTCACTCTCTTGTCTCCCTCTGCCGTCTCACTCTCTTGTCTCACTCTCTTGTCTCACTCTCTTGTCTCACTCTCTTGTCTCAC